AGTATGATGGCCTGTGATAATTTTAATTTTTTATACATTTACATACCCTTTTAGCTTAGAAATTAAATTTAATATGTATTTTGTAACTTAGTCTCACCTATATTTACATTAATCTCATTGTTTTGTAGATAAAGATTAAAGAACAAACTTAATAGAATTAATTCTTCAACTAATGATAGTTTAAGTATGTAGTGGTATTTTAGTCATAACTCTCTTTCTGCATATTAGATTGATGTTATCCTTAAAGCATTAGAAAGTTAAGAAGAAAAGTTACAATTTATTTTTAACAAGCTCAATCCAGTTCAATCGTATTCAAGTTGAAATTCTAGTTCAAATTTTTGTTTTTGACATAATAATTGCTAGGTAGATTGATTAAGAGGAGTTGAAGCTTGAGGGTTTCCATTTTATTCAATTAAAGGGATTCAAAGTTGTGGGCTGATAGCAACTTAGGCTTAAAAATTCAAAAGCCTTAGAAGAATGATGGGGTAAAAAAGGAAAATAAGTAAAAGATATAATATATATTTGACTTCACCACGAAGATAGATGCTGCCTCTTGGCTTCCTTCTTTATTAACCTTACTTTGAGAAATTAGGAAACAATGGAGTCTTAGTAACAACACATAATTGAGGAAGAAAAGTCCAAATAGCAGTTCAGCCTTACCCTTATGCTCAAGGGGCTAGTTTTCTTATTCCTATATGTTACTTTTTTAATGTTTCTTTGTTGGATTTCCTCTTTAATTTTTATTATTGTTTTAAACTTGATTAGGTGTGGCTAAATTACTTGAAATAGGGGTAGACGGATTTTAATTCTCGAATTATGTGATTGATTTTAGTTAAATTTTAGACTTATTAGCCATTCGCATGATAGTTTATGTCGTTGAACTCAATGCATTGAAAACATGATCATCTTTTAATTGATTTAGGTTGTATTTGGGAACATGTATTTGTGTTTAAGATATGTATTTTAAATACATACACTTAAAAAAACAAGTATTTTAAATGCACGTATTTAAAAAACAAGTATTTTAAATGCACGTATTTAAAAAACAAGTATTTTAAATGCACGTATTTAGAAAACAAGTATTTTAAATGCACGTATTTAAAAAACATGTATTTTAAATGCATATATTTAAAAATTACATTGTTTGGAGTAGATAAAGAAAAATAATTTAAATTACATGTATTTAAAATATATTGTTTAGATACACTATAATATTGTGCATTTAAAATTGAATTTTATATTAAATTAAACCCTCTTTTACTCATTATTTAAGTTAAATGTCGATTTCATTAATAATAGAACTACTTATATTTTTTTATTTTCAAATATTCAAATATTGTTTAAGTTCTTTGAAAATTAGAAAATAAATATATTTTGGCAAAAAGAAAATAATAATCTCTTGACAAAGAACACAATAAATTGATATAGGAAATTTAAAATCTATACATATTCCCAATTTGTTGTAAAAAAAAGGTAACATTATATCTATAGTAAAACTACCTTGCAACATTTAAAATGAGATTTTAATTTAGCAAGATTAGAAATATGGTAAAATAAGTGGTTAGAAGATAAAAAAGTAATATCGCAACAATAAAAATGACCATTTAGATTATCAATGCGTAGTTATTAAAAGCAAATTAATTAAGAATTATTACAAAATTAGACTAAATAATAGCAAGATGTTAAAAATAGAGATTATCATAGTTTTAATGATAAGATAAAATGAGAGATCGAAGGCTTGTTAATTAATCTTTCATGGGCCTCAATGAACTCTAGCCAGCCATTGATCATCACCAACATTTAACACACAGTCGTCCATTTCAACCACACCAACTTCATTGTCAATTTCTCAACTCTTTATCCGTACCTCATTATACGACAGTGACAATAATAACTTACTTGAAATCTCTTATAAGATTACATTGTTAAAGGTGGGTTATGTGAACTCAACGCTTGCCTAGTATCATGATGGAAGTAACAAATCCAACTTTTAAGAGCAATAAATCCTCCACCTTTTCTTCTTCCATCAAGAACCCATTGAAGAACTTGCTCTCGTCATCAACTTTTGAAAGTAACAAATCCAACCGGTCGATGATCCCGTAGCAAATTTTACAAATGTTGAAATGAAAAGATGAATTACAAAACATTGTCATAGGCTTCACTGGCATTGTAGTAGCCAAGGGATGCAATTAAAATTCATTTTGGAATTGCAATTCATGGGTACAAGGAAGATTTTCAAATACATGTCTTTTACTTATGTGAAATACTTACAATAAAATACATGTATTTCACTCAAATTCAATTAAATCCTATTTAGGCATAACTAAACAATGATATTGAAGTTGGAGGGTTCAAATTCAAATACACTTTTTGTAATTAACGTTTTGAAATAGGCCATTAGTGATTTATGAATGAACTTGAGAAAGAATAATATAAATTAAACTAATAATAATATCAATCATATGTTAGACTATGAGACCAATAGGTAATTAACGTCACATATGATAATGGAGGAGGATGACAGAGTTAAGAGCTCCTTCTTCTTAAACTAGCAGTTTTCATAAAATTTAATGCTCACTTGTTTGTTTTAAATTATATAAAGATATGATTAATTTAACAATGAGAGGAAGAATTAACTTGACTTGAGAAAGCTAATTAATTAATTGAGGGAAATTCGTTATCTCGTGTCATAACATTATTATTTGAACTTGGTTTAGATTAATAAAATAGTTGTGTAATTCAAAATTAAATGAAATCTAAATCATAATGCCTTTTCATTTAGAGTTCCTGTTACTTAGAACATTCCTTTAGATTAAGTAGTTTATTTGTATTCAATTAATTGACTAATTCAACTTAGGCTAAATTAATATCATCTTGGTAGTGTAGAATAGTTTTTAAGGAAATGATATCTTATGTATTTTGTACAATCGATTACGTTAATTTGCCTAAAAGAAGTGCGTGTTTGATGCATCAGGTTGATTTATGGTATCAACAAGTGGCTAGTAAAAGTAGAAGCAGTAATCACATTGTCAATATAGTTTGAAGATGGGCTGAGGCATGTAGATTCGTCTATTTAGTTCTTAATTGTGAAAATGACTTCATCCTATACTACAATCATTGGAAGATTGATATTGAATGCTATAAGGAGGTGCTATTTCAAACTCATTGCTATATGAAATTCCTAATTTCAATAGGGTTGGCATCTTTCGAAGATAGTAAGATATGGCTAGAAAATGCCACATATCATCATTTAAGCATCTTGGGAAGAATAAGGCAATTGGGACTGAGAACTTGAAGAGTAATACAAGTATACTACTAATTTAGTTGATATGCATTAAAGGTACAGACAACTAAATGGATGATGATGAATAAAGGATCGAACTAGGAGAAGATGTTGAGACCATTTAGATAGATAACAATGACCTTGCCAAAACTACCTAAATTGGAACCAAACTGAACCTGAGAAAGAAGGTTCAATTTATAGGATTTTTAAAAGATAATAATGATGTTTTCACATTGACACATGATAGGATGCTAAGGGTCCACCTTTAGTTGTAATGCATAAACTAAGTGTTAACCCCTTGAAAAAATTGGTAGCTTAGAAGAAAAGGCTTTTTGGGGATGTACGGCTAATGTGATAAAAAAAGAAGTTGAAAAGCTACTTAAGTTTGGGTTTATTAGAAAGGTGGACTATTGTGAATGTGTCTCTCATCCAATACTTATGAAGAAGGGTAATGGCAAGTGGAGAATATGTACAGATTTTATTGACTTGAATAATGCTTGCCCAAAAGATTGTCCTAATGCCAAGTATAGACAAGTTAGTAGAAAGCATTGCTAGTAATGAGTGGATGAACTTCTTGGACACCTATTTGGGCTACCATCAAGTCTTAATGGTCCTGGAGAATGAAGAGAAGACAACCTTCTATGTAGGGGATGAAATCTACTATTAAGTCATGATACCTTTCAACTTAAAGAATGCAAGGGCTACTTACCAAAGATTGGTTTACCAGGTTTTTGGGCACAAATTAAGTGGAACTTGGAAGTCTATGTAGACAACATGTTAGTTAAGAGCATCCGAGCAAAAGACCATCTTACGAACCTAGCAAAAACATTCATGAATTTAAGAAGGAACAACATGTGTTTGAACCTATCAAAATGTTTTTTGGTGTGGAATCAAGCAAGTTTCTAGGCTGCATGGTCTCAAGGAAAGGAATTGAGGTGAACCTTGAAAAGATCAAAGCTATTGGGGAGATGGAACCTCTAAGAACAATTAAAGACATGCAGTGTTTGATAGATAGAATAGTAGCATTACATTAGTTCATGTCCCAATCGGTTGAAAAATACTTGCCATTCTTTAAGGCCTTACAGAATACCGTATGCAAAGTAGATAAAGGGCTGAACAAAAAATTGGTAGAATGGACAACTAAATGTTAACAGGCCTTTGAAAAATTAAAAAAATATTTGAGCTCATTGCCCTTGTTAGCAAAGCCAAAAGATGGAGAGGTTTCCTATTTTATTGAACAAAATATCAAAACACACAAGATTTGATATTGATAACAAATATGTGCTTGTATCTTTTGCACACTTGAAAAGCTTCTATTGTTGAAAACACACAAAACTTATAAGATATCCTTGAAATTTGAAAGCCTTCTACAAAATTCTCTCCTTTGTCTGAATCTATAAATTTTTATTTTTATGAAAGTTTTAGAACTACAGCCTATATTATATTGATTGATAACCTCATAAACCCTAATACCTATGTTCATTTAAAATTAACCCATTTAATGTTGTCCATTCAAGGTTGGACTTGGCACTACATGCAGCAATGCGTGATTGTACAACTAATTATTCTAGAATATAAGTGAATTTGATATTTAACCATTTATAATTACTACTATTTATTATTTAAAATATTTAAGTATTCTATGAAAGCTAGCTACTTGTACACTATGCAAAATAAACACCCTAAACGCTGGTATTCACCACACACTTTCCAGTTCCCAAGAAAAAAAAAAATACTAGACGTACACTCTTGCCGTCTTACTCTAAACACTAACCAGATTTAAATCCCAAAATCGAGAAAGAAAAACTCAGAAAAGCGAAAAAAAAGCTTCCACATTTCAGCTCTCTCTAATCTCCTAATACTAATAGCCTCCATATCTACTGATTTGAAACCCTAACGTTTGGGTCCAAGCCACTTCGGATTTGGATGTGATATCTTTCGCTTTCTACCTCTACCACCAACATTTCTCTGTCGCTGCTTTTGTATGTTACTGATTTGAGAGACAAGTTGTTGGATCGGAAATGGCGGATGTTTCCGGTGATGCGGCTGATGGGGGATGTTCGCCGGCGGTCACGGCGCTGCAGCCGGCCTTGACAGTGTCCGCCTCATTCAAGGAGAGTGGAGGAGGGAAGGGCTCGTCTCGGCGACGATCCGTCAGGCCCAGCTTCGACGCTGATAATGAGTTCATTACATTGCTGCACGGCTCGGATCCGGTCAAGGTGGAGCTCAATCGCTTGGAGAATGAAGTTAGAGGTATGGAATGTAGCTCGATCTGCTCGATTTTTGGCTGGATTCGGGTTGATTTCTCTGAATTTTCCTTTTTAAGTGTTTTATGGTGGTAATTTTTTTTAATAAATTAATTTATCGGTTGCAGATAAAGACCGAGAGTTAGGGGAAGCGCAAGCTGAGATCAAGGCCTTGAAGTTGTCTGAAAGACTTAGAGAGAAGGCTGTTGAAGAGGTCAATTTAATTTCACACTACTTTTTTTTTTAATAAAAAAAGTCAATTAAAGTGAGCTTGCTTCTGAATTTTGGTTATTGGAGGTAGTACTGTATTACTTCCAGTAGTGACTTCAATTGACGTGATTTTAGTTTCTATTTTTGGAAGACAATTTCTATTTCAATCTATGGCATTGCCTAATTTTATCGGTGTCTTATTTGTTACTGTTGTGCCTATGTAAAATATTAGTTGGATCAGGATTTTGTGCCTCACTTGTCTCATTTTGGCGGAATTGTTATGCTGAAGGCACTTACTAATGGTTTACACGCTTGTCAATCATCTCATAATTAATGGATTCCGCATCCATTCAGAAGCAATTGAATGATTTAAGCTTGTAATAATCATGGGTGCTGGACATATTTTTGTTATATGTTATGTAAATTTATGAGTAATCCTTGTTGTTGTTGTTGTTGTTATTGTTTGGTTTTGATGGAATCTGACCTTTTTCCCATTTTCCATTATATACCATAGCTTACTGAAGAGCTTTCTAAGGTGGAGGGGAAGCTCAAGTTAACAGAATCTCTTCTTGAAACTAAGGTACTAATTGGAACCTTTTCTCAACCCTGTTCTTATGTTGATACTATATTTATTGAATTAACCATGTTTTGCAGAATCTTGAGATCAAGAAACTCAATGATGAGAAGAAGGCCTCCATGGCAGCTCAGTTTGCAGCTGAAGCCACTCTTCGAAGGGTTCATGCTGCTCAAAAGGATGATGACATGCCACCAATTGAAGCAATTCTTGCCCCTCTGGAAGCTGAGTTAAAGCTTGCTCGGCAAGAGGTATTTCTTGCCTTTCTGGAAAAGGGGATCCTATTTTGAAAAGATAATGCTATGATCCATCACTTGATTTTGATGCTCTGGCATCAGATAGGAAAACTATATAAAATCTAGCTAATGGTGCACAACTGTATATGAAACATGGATAGTTTTACTGAAAAGCATTTTGTAAATTAGAGATGGTAAAAAGATTTTGTTTAACAATATGTAAGTTTTTTATGGAAAATGTGTGGTGCTCAAATGATTCTACAGGCTCCAAAAATTCTCCAAGATGGATCAACTAGAACGTTTTATGCTAGTTGATGAAAAAAAGGAAAGGAAAATAAAAAGAACATTTAATGCTCACTTGTGTCCAACATGCTGGTCTTTCTATAAAAGAAGTATCATGCAGATCTGAGGTATTTGTTACAAATGTTTGATGGCTCCCTTAATGATTAATTCTGTCTTGTTCCTTGCAGATCGCTAAGCTTCAAGATGATAATAAAGCACTAGATCGTCTGACTAAATCGAAAGAAGCAGCTCTACTTGAAGCTGAGAGGACTGTTCAGGTTGCCTTGGCTAAAGCTTCTATGGTGGATGATCTCCAAAATAAGAACCAAGAATTAATGAAACAGATAGAAATTTGCCAGGTATTCCAATTATGTATGCTATCCTGAGCTTTCCAATTTTCATTCAATGAGGTTCACCAGAAGTCAAGGCGTTGGGTGTGATCTGTATGCTTTATCTTACAATTAGGAACTTATTTATCACATTTTCCATGATAGGAAGAAAACAAAATTTTGGACAAAATGCATCGCCAAAAGGTTGCAGAGGTAGAGAAGCTTACCCAGACTGTTCGAGAGCTGGAAGAGGCTGTTCTTGCTGGTGGTGCAGCCGCAAATGCAGTTAGGGATTACCAGCGGAAAGTTCAGGAGATGAATGTGATGTCTTAAAACACTTTCATATGCTCTAATTTGGCAGATTTCATTTGGTTGATGCTGTCTTTTTAGCAATTAAAAAAATGAAATGAAATTTTCTTTGTTCAGGAGGAGCGGAAAACTCTTGATCGAGAGCTGGCCCGTGCAAAGGTAACAGCTAATAGAGTGGCTGTAGTTGTGGCAAACGAGTGGAAAGATGCTAATGACAAAGTGATGCCTGTAAAGCAATGGCTTGAAGAACGGAGGTTCTTGCAGGTTATCATTGATGGTTTTCTTTTTGAATGAAACAGAGTAATATACTTGAATTTATTGCTTTTTGTTAATTGATGACATTTGTTTTTATGGCAGGGAGAAATGCAGCAACTTCGGGACAAGCTTGCTATAGCAGAGCGAACAGCAAAGTCTGAAGCACAGCTGAAAGTAAATATGTTTGTGACAACTTTATTAATTATTCTTCAGCTTATTATTGATTATTTTAGAAGTAAAAACTTGGGCATTCAATTTACCAGGAGAAATATCACTTACGGCTCAAAGTTCTAGAAGAAAGTTTGAGAGGATCTTCGAACAGTAGTCGCAGCACATCAGAGGGAAGATGCATAAGCAATGGGCCCTCTAGACGTCAATCGCTCGGTGGTGCTGAGAACTTCTCAAAGCTTACTTCGAATGGCTTTTTATCCAAGAGAACACCAACCTCTGGATTGAGATCTTTGTCCTCTAGTACAAGTACAGTGTTGAAGCATGCTAAAGGAACATCTAAATCATTTGATGGAGGCATGCGATCATTAGACAGGGCTAAAGTGCTCTTAAACGGGGCTGGCACAAATAATTCATTCAACCAGCCTTCTGAAGAAATGAAGGAAGATGAGACTCCTAACAGTGACAAACCTAATGAGTTCCAGCCAGCTGATATAGAAGATAGTGTTCCAGGGGTTTTATATGATTTGCTGCAGAAGGAGGTTATAGCTTTGAGGAAAACTGGTCATGAAAAAGATCAAAGCCTCAAAGATAAGGATGATGCTATTGAGGTTGATTCTCTGTTCTTTTTGTTATAATACCACTATAAATTATACCTTGGTAAGTTATTCAACTCTTGTGTTGTTTCTCCAGATGCTGGCAAAGAAGGTAGAAACATTGACTAAGGCAATGGAGGTTGAGGCTAAAAAGATGAGAAGGGAAGTAGCTGCAATGGAGAAGGAGGTTGCTGCCATGCGCGTGGAGAAAGAACATGAGAACAGGGCCAAACGATTTGGTAACTCAAAGGGTCCTGTTAGCACCGCTCAGCTGCTTTCTGGAAGGTACTTGCTTCTCTTCTATACCTTTTGTTTGGTCATGATTTTGGACCAAATTTAATGCCGCCTTTGTTTTGTTAGATTTGCCTTTTAAGTAATGGTGGGACCTGCATCCAAATTTGATCTGCACAATTTTTCCTGTAATGCATAGGTTTTCATTTTCTTCATCCTTTAGAATCTTCAAAATTCTTTATTTGATTTTTCATCTCAGTATTAAGCCTAGTGCAACTGCAAAGTTGGAAAATATTTGGTAATTTACTAAATTATGGGTATCTGTTTTTAAATTCAATTATGGTTTCATTTATTTGTTTTTCAAATCTTTTTGCCCTTCCCACCTTGACAATTGTCTGTTTTTGAATTCAAATTATGGTTTTCATTTGTCCCTTTGAGGGTGATTCCTCAGGAGCTAAAATGATAAAGAAATATTAGGGGCTTAGCACACTAAGTTCTCTAAAGTACTGAAAGAGTTGTAACAAGACATGAGGATTATAAGCAAGCTACTTGAACATGTCTCATTGACACCCCATTAGGTAATCTGCCAAACAAAAAGGATTAAACCTTATTTGTGCGGCTTATGAGGTTCTCCTAAGTGTCCATTAGGCATCTTATTTGTGCACCTCCTAAGGTTCATTCCTTAGTGTCCATTAGACATCTCTTCTTATGGTAACAATTCTTTTTCCCTAGAGCAGCGCATTGACACTAGATGACCTGCCAATAAAAAGGATAGTTTTTAGTCTCTAAATTTTGTTCAGAAATTCATTAAAAAAAATATGTTCAGAGTTGTACAAGTGCATCTCTGATCTTGCAGGGGACTCTTGAAAGAGAACATATAACAAGGTCAACAAAGGATATATAATGATTAGCTTATAGAAACAAGAGTTACTGTTACTTTTATCCTCTTGATCAAATAATGAATATTGCCAAAAAAAAAAAAAAAAAAAAAACTAAAATAATTGATACTGTTGTTGCTTTGCCCAGGGTTGGCTGTCAGCTCTATGTTCATTTTTACGTAACCCTGATCCTGTAATTATTATATGTACAGTCTACATATGGTGCATATCCATGAGTTCATTCTTTATGATTGCCTGGCTTCAAAACTTTCGCTTGATTTTGTGGGACTGTGGCTTATGCACATAATTGTGTTGTTATGCTGGTTTTAATTTCTGTTCTAAACAACTACTGTATTCTGATTATCAAATTTCAAGGATGTGCTAATCATTTCTTCTCTGTAATTTTGCAGAAATGCTGGTCGTGGTGGATTAACCCGCAGCACTCAATGACAACAAAATTTCAATAGCGACAGCCGGAGTAAATTTGCATAGATCTCTTTGGTCCACTTTTATTTTAATTTTCTTTTATTTCTTTCATGATTGATTATAAGATTGTAACATGCATGCCGACGTCCATTTTGATCACTGAGTTTGGTGGAGAAAAGGAATCAGGGAAAAAGAAGTGATCAGAGGAAAAATTCGGTATGCCTTTGGCATAGACTATTATTCCTCTGCTTAGACATCAGTGATAAAAGATTAAGGAATATGTTGACAGTGCGCTAACCTTTTTGTCAGGTTTTATTGAATGGCCAGCGATGGTGTTGTTGTATAGGAAGTAGCCTATTGGGTTTTCCGTGTTGTCTTACCTCTTCTTTTGCAGTTTATATATGTAATTTGCAGCTAGTGTGATCTTTACCTTTCTTGCTTGTTAATATTCTTGTAATCAATCTTCCGTGGTTTGTGATATAATTCCGGATCAATACATTTAGTTTCATCTTTGGCTATGTTACATGGTTGTTTGTGTTTCTCAATCTTTTAAATAGGTTGAAACTCTATTTTGATCCTTCTATTTTGACAAAGTCTTTTTTAGTCTCTCTAATTAAAAAAAATCTTTTTTGTCTCTAAAGTTTATTATTTGATTCTTTTTTAGTTCTTTTTTTTCTTTTTACCAAAGCGACACACGTTAAATAATATAAATTTTGAAATAATAAATGATTAAAAAGGGACTTTTGTTTAGAGTAAAAGAATAAAAAAAAAAAAAGATTTTTTTAGTTCTTAGTTTCTTTATTTCGGAATTCTTATTTTTTAACGCATCACATGTTAAAAAATAATAAAGGAATTAAAATGAAGTTAGATGATAATAAATTTTAGGGATTAAAAAGAGATTTTCTTAAGTAAAAGAATTACAGAAAAGGTCTTTTTTGTCAAGGTAGGGGTATTAAAATGGAGGGTTTTTTGGTTAAAGTAGAAGACCAAAAATGGAGTTTTAACCTTATAAATATGTTCAATGTGGCCGTCGACAGATCTGTTTGTTATAATTGTGCTATTATTATTACTAGCTTACAAGGGAGGTGAGGGAGATTGAGTTGGGTCGAGTCAATCTATACCGATAAAAAATGGACTCATTTTCCATCTGATTTCCAATTATCCATTGAGATCTCGAACCGAATTGGCTGGGAGATTTGAATTGGTTACCCAAATAATTTGATTTTTCGTTTTAGTTTCAGGTGATACAACATATTAATCAAATACTAGCACAATTTCTAGAGAAATTCATTAAATGTAGTCAACAAATTCTTCAAGGTTCAATCTAATAAAAATGAATGTAAACTACAAATAAACTTCAGTTAAGAACCTGTAGGAAAGAATCTTCTGATCATCATCATCATCATCATCAGTGTTTGCATTTCGCTGCTCAAATTGATTAGGGACAATGCTATTGTAAGATTTAGGGTACATTTAGAATTTGTGCAAAGTGTTGTAGTTGTAACTGTAATTGTAACTGTGGTTGTAACTGTGCTGAACTATATTGCATTGTAATTGTGACTGAAAGTTATTTTGACATTTGGTTATTTATTTTTTAAAAGTATTACGAATGAAATATAATAGATTTTATTAATTATTAATTAAAATTTTAAAAATATTGTAAAATATATAATTATTAAAATAAATAATATTTACTATTTTTTAATAATTTAGGTTTTTTAGATTTGTTATCATTATTAAAATATTATAAATTATAATATAATTAAATTATAAGAAATTAGATTTTAATGGGTAATTTTGTAATTATAGTAAATATTAGGTGTTTTCCATAAAAGTTACTGCTAAAAAATTAATGAAGTTTTTGGTTTTATATATAAAATTAATATAAATCTATTTTGACTTTCTGTCGTTTTTAGAAAAAGAAATTTTTTTAAAAAAATACTAAACGCATAAATATCTAAAAATAGTGTACAACTACATGAAAAAACTTTTAATTACAAGACCAAATGCACCTTTAGCCTTATTATGGATTGGGGACATTGGAGGGGAGGGAGGATATGTCTTTTCTCTTATTTAGATTATTGATTTTAATGAAAGGGAGGGAGATGAAATCCCCTTCACTCTTTTTTTTTTTTTTTTTTTTTTTTTTCATTTTAATAATTTAAAGTAAATTTTGATAAAATTATACATTTAAATTTTTTTAAAATTTATTTAAAAATTACTT